TTTAATGGTTAAAAAAGTAATAGGTCAACGGTTATTCTGAAAAGATATTTAAGTGCATAAATTTGCATATAAATTTAACCCCGACAAGTAAACATAATCTCATCTTATTTTTGTTCGATGAAGATGCAGCTTTTAATTTACTATCGTATATTCCATATTATTTCATTAAGATATACGTGTAATTTTAATATTTTATCCAATTATGCAGATGTAATTTGAATGGATCCTGGTGAGGCACCCCAAATTTTCGGTACTTTACTAAAGAACCACCTTAAGCGATCTTTATTTTTTTTTTAATAAGTACTTATTTATAAATAAAGATATCGATCTTTATTTCCTAATTTTTATAAGAATTTGAACTCGCCAATTTATGTACGATAAAATTTTACTTATTCCTAAAAATAATATTTCTCTCACGAGTGTATGAGTCCTGCTCTTTTCCTTTTTATAAAATACTACGTACGTCAATAACATGAATTGAAAATATTTTGAACTTAGTTATTTCTTGTGTGTGTGACTTGTACTGTGTGTGCAAGTTAACACAGCTTTGAAATTCGATTGTGAAAACTACTGCACGAAGAGCGAAAAATTCTAGAACAGGTATTTGGATAGGTTTTTTTTTGCAATGGTGTTTTCGTTCGATAAGAAAGATATGTTATTTACGACTCAATAAGCGCAAAGAAAAACTAACGACTGCAACAAGCCACGTTGCGAAAAGTAAAGTAAATAAAAGAGGAGCCATGAAAAAGATAAGCATGGTTATACTGGAACAAAAAGACGAAGAAAGTTCAGGAATCGTATAGTATATCGACATTCTATATAAAAAAACGTCGATAGGATGACAATATCATATAATTGAAATAAAGACAAATAAATGAAATTTACATTAAGTGAAGTCTGTAGCATACAATATCGTAAAAACATTGGAAGATAAAAACATAGCATTATTTCACACAATGTCAACGTAAATGCCAAAAAGGGACGATCCACAGGAGCGATAATTCACGCAGATAAAAGGAAGTTGGCTAATTCTCCTTCTCCAAAACTCTTAAAACTTTATACCAGTTCAATCGACCCACTTAAGACTCATAAAACAAACTTCTCGAAGCTGTTCGATCGCGTCGTAGAAAAATCCCAAATCGTCGGGCAGTTAAAGTGCCAAAATATATCAACGTTAAGCGTCTCAAAGTGAAGAATTGTCGTTCAAAAAACATTACCGATATTTTTAATTAATATGTAAAAAAAAAAGACGTAAGTATTTCGATGAATATCAATTTATAAATTTATATTCATCCATCAATTTTGAATCAGGAATAATTAATGCGCTCGCTTTATAATTTTTCAATTTAAGCGTTTTAATTATTTTCGCACGTCTTTGTCACTTTCATATTATAGTTTAAAAAAAGCATTTTACGTATCACGTAAAATAAAGGAAATATTACACGTATATGCATATATAGGACGTTTATCCTTTCGCGGCTAGTCGCGGAATTACATTGATCGTTCTCGTTGCGACGTGCTGAAGTGCGCACTTCTGAAACTATAGGTACCCTTCGTCTGGCACGTCGAAATAGCGAAAAGCAGCGAGTGCGAGCACACGATAAACCAACAGCGCGCATACGTAACTATCTGCGTCTCCCGTGTATATCGTCTCAACGGGCTTACACGTCGTATCTCTCGGGACTTTAATAAGCGTAACCGACGGAGATTAGGCGAACGGCCGAGGGGGGACAGAAATCTACGAGCAACTCTAACCGAAGAGACTGCTTGAGGGGCTAACACGAGGAGGTGTCGCAACTGCAGATGCGGTTGTAACTTTATAGAACCGACTACGCGGCATAGTCCAACCAGAACCAGGTATAAGCTCGTTTGGAAGTCGCATGAAGTCGACGTCTTCGAGAATTGTCACGATATCTACGATGATAGGGATGATGAAGGGAGAGATGGCTTTGAGAACGAAGACGAAGGGAATTGGCTATCTAGAATCTTCGGCGAACTATGAAATCTTCTTTAGCCCTCGCCTGGTTGGATGGACTGTATGCCCCACGCAGTCATTCATGCCACCCCGACCCGCGGCGGATAATAATACCGCACAATTACTCCGTAGATGCCCGAGTTCGCGAAAGAAGGGAAATAAAATCAGCATAAAAGCGAGAGCCGCCAAATGGCGGCCTCGGCACGGCGGGCCTTTTAATGAAAAGTGGGCCGGTGGGGGAACAGCGAAGAAGAAGGCGGCGGTGGCCCTTAAATTAATTCACGATGAATTACGTCCGCGCCAGCTGCAAGGGCAGTTGTGTTTATTTATGGTTTAACTAAGATCTTCTTCCTCTAGTCTTTAAAGGCGGATTCGCCCTTATAATTTCTCGATGACCGAGAGAGGCGGTCTGCCTCCGTCATTTTCTCGCGTCGTTGATAAGAGGGAAAGTGAGAGTGAGAGAGAGAGAGAGAGAGAGAGAAACGATAATCGTTCTGAAATGAGGATTCTCTCCGACGAAATAAGAGGGAACACGCTCGTTCGCAGCCTCACAAGCTACAGCGGCGTGTCGCAAACGAGCGCGATTTGGCCCGTCAGGGAAAAAAGCTCGTCGCGATTTTTTTTTTCTCGAGGGTTTTTTTTTTCGGTCACCGAGAGAGCGACCATTCATTGGCTCTCGCGAGGACGCTTGAGGACGCTTCGTGAACTGGGTTTTTTTTTTGCGACTGGCCATTTCGACGTAGATTGCAGTGACGAATGTGGCACCTCGCATATTATATCGAATGCGAAATGGGCCATTGGTTAATTGAAGAGTACCCCAGAAAAACGTTGCAAACGACAAATTTATCAGATACGATGTGTCAGCGGAGAGAAACGTGATTGTACAATATATCGAGAATATAATGGTTCCTCCGTAATATCATTTAACGTGTTTCCATTTTGTGTATTTTGGAACAACGTTAAATTTTTGTAATCATTTTATCATTAAAACTTTTCTCTTTTTCTCTTTTTTTTTTGTTTAACGCCAATATTACTTAGAAACTATTTGCAATATATAATAGAAACTTTGTTACAGTCTTTGAAGTGAAGTAGAGTAGCGGAAGGATGAACTCTCTTCGTGAAAAATTATGTGAAAAATCACGCGAAAAAAAAGTTCACTCGATATTTAAGAGCAATTAGGTGTAGACGAACCGATCATGAAGGAAAAATTGATTGAGAACACACGAAAATAGATTTTAATAGAAATTGGGCACGTATGACGCTCCTGCGAGAGAGCTGTCGGGTACCGAAAACGAACCGCGAAGCGTAACGAGACGCAATTTCAGTTGCCATAAAACTTCAAACCCGAGCACCCACGGGAACGCCCGATTTATTTAGCAAGTGAATACAAAACTGTCGTAGCGAGTGATGCGGGAATCGATGCGATCGATTTTATTATCTTTCCACGGTTTGGGTTAGATCCATTTTGTGTGGATTTTCGTCTGAAAATAGGATGGAGATTCGTAAGCTGAATTGGAAACAGCCAAACGCTTATTACGTCACGACGTTCGCTGTTGCAACATCAAGTATAATTAGAGAAATTACTGCGAAAACCGAATAGCACCGTCACGACAGCAACGATTGAAATGGCTGGACAAGGCTTTGACAGTAATTAAAAGTCTATCGATACGGAACGTAAGCACGCTATGGTGGAAATATAAAAATATAATTAGTATCATTCTCTCACTCATATATTCTCCGTTTCTCACATTCTTTCTTTCACACATGAATTCTACATACTCGCTCGAAGCAACTCGCGCCAGAAAACGATCGTCACTGATTTATCGAACACTTATTAGTCGTTTGGTTCACATCGGAAACGAGTAATCAGATATTTCCTATGATCGTAGGACGCGCGATCGGTGAAATTTTTTTTATTGACTTATCATATTTTGATTGAATTGCTCCTGTAAGTTCATTACAGTTTGTAATTTTGACACAAATAGACTTTTAAGTATTTTTATCGCTTTTTATATCTCTTACATATTTAAAAATGAGTCCTCTCATTAAATATGTCAATTTTATGTTTATTTATTTTATAATATGTATAATAAGTAATTTTTTATATTTTTATCGACAATTTTATTCTATGTTGGTTATAAATAAAATTAGTTTAATATCATGTTGTAGTTTTATACTTTTTCTCGAAATTCTAAATTTAAAAGAGTCAGCTGTGGTCATGAAAATGTGTGTCAGGTGCGTTATATGCAATATTACATTTATTACTTTAACTTGACAGATAAAGATGTAAAATATTGAGTTTACTGTTTTGCCGTTAAATCGATTAACATAAAAGACAATGAGAGTTAAGCTCGTACTGAAAGAATTTTAAATCTATACTTTTATTCTTAATTTTATTTACTTAAATAATATTCGAAATTGTACTGTGTAATTGCGTTACTCGTAAAATGTCAGTTTGTATAAATATTCTTTTCTTTTATGAAAAAATGTGCTCTTCAGATTTCCTTTCTTTCGTTTCCGCTTTTACAAAATATAAAATGTATCCCACAAGAATAGAATCTTAGTATCGCTTTTTCCAATTTGTGTTAAATTCATGATCGACAGTAGCTGTTAAAGTTTTCAAGTAAATATCCGATGAATATCACTCAATTTTATTTTAACCGGAAGAAAATTCTAGTATCGAGAACCCGTTCTCGAAAACAAAATCCTCGAGTGAACAATCATCGAAAACGATTCTCCACTCTGCCGTTATTGGGGAGCGTTTTGATAAAGAAAATCGCATTCAAAAAGATAAAGTACTAAATGTTTCTCCAAAGACATACTTAATTCCGTGTTGACTGGAGAGTTTTGCTATCGAGAGCTGCTAACCGAGAGTGCGATAAAAACTCCCTTGAGTAAACGGTAACCTTGTGTGGAGAAAGAAAAGAAAGTTTGCGAGAGAGGACAGGTACGATCGCACGTCCGTGATCGAGGGCGTGTGTGGCGAACAACTTGGAGTCGCTCGTCCGCAATCGATTCGTTCTGATTTTCGAGATCGAGGGCGTCCGCCAAGACGGGCGAGAGACACCGGCGTTCTTGCTATACTTCCGGCTCGAACTCCTTTAAAGCTTTCAATACTCGTTTAAACTCGCGATACATATCCTATTACACCGGCGTTAATCGTAAGGGCTATCTACGAAACGCCACGCCGCTCGCACGCGACTGGAGAGCGCAGCGGGGAGCTGGGAAAAAGTGGCACGAATGTGTTAGTTTTACCCTGACGTATGCACACATATACACGTGCGAGCGTGCCTGTATATGATACAGTAAATATGTACATATCACGCAAATTTATTGCCGCCGAAACTGAGGAGTTACACACCTGACTCTTCGATCCGCGCGAATATTATTCAGGATTATCTTCACTTCGAGATATGTTCTTCTCCTTCACTCGTTGACTTCATCTGTCTGTTCAATTTCAGCCTTTGTCGCTTCATTATCTTCTTACTTTTTGCGTTTTTTATTGTTATTGTTTTTTTTTTTTTATATCGTTTCGATTTAATTGATCGAGAACTCGTAATTTGATTTGATAACGTACGACTTCCACATAACAAAATAGATAAGAAATTGTTATTTAGCTCGATTGATGCTATCAATCTCGTTCTTCTAAATCACTGCTGAGATCGAATAAAACGGTATCCTACGTATACCATAATGGGTTTATGCACTGGTTTAATTTTGCATGGGAATAAAAAAATCTAGGGCGTCATTTAAAGTTTATAAAGAATATCGAAAATAGAAGCGAGTCAAATTATACCCGATCCCTGAATACAATTAACTTAGCACTCACCAATTCAAGTATAACGATCAATATATGCTCTGCGATGCACGTCTTCAGCCCCATCTGGTTCATCCCTTCCGCGAGCTTCCGATGCATTGATTAGGTCTACGAATTACGAATAAGCCACTCAGGGAAGACGATACGTCGTCGTCGTCGGCGGCGACTTAAGCCCATTCGAAGTTGTTTTTGCCGCGTAGAGCCGAGCAAGCTGCTGAATAGCCAATGAAGATTAAAGCTTGCGGGCTTTTACCTTACGCGGACTTGGCGTCTTCTTCGCACTGATCAGTCAAAATTAAAATACAGCACATTTGGAGAATAGCATCCGAATTTTCTCGAATATCTATTCTATTTATTTTATTTTTCTTTCGCGGCAGCTTGCTGTACAAACAACTTCGATTCTATGGTCATCGAGTGTCGATCGCATGTAACAACGCTTCTTCTCCAAAAGTGAATTATATTGTTGCTGATCGCGTTACGAGAATCGCAATGTGCGATCGCGAGCACTGATGACGGTTGCCTCGACCAAGTTCTTCGGAATTTCTCGGCTCTCTCTCTCCCTCTCTCTCCCTCTCTCGTTTCACCATCTTCGGCGAACGATTAGAAGCGACAACAGCGGTGATACCAAAACGAAGAGCCGTCGTGGATAAGGATCAGTGCCCGAGCTGACGTTGATCGGTCGTTTCTTGCCGACGCGAATCGTGGAGGACGGCGTGGCGAGCGACGGGTAACCCATATGTCCGTGGACCGTGTTATCCACCGCCAGTGGCTTGTTCTCCGTCTTGTCCATCTCCGCGGAACCGAACACTGCCTCGTCCTCTTCGTCATAGAACACCGTTAACACCGGTGTTTGCGTCTTCGCCGGCCCCGAGATCTCTGGAACAGGGAAAAATATGCGATTTTGATGAACTTAACGCAAAAAGAGAAGGCAATGTACACTGTTAAATCTACAATGTTAAAAATAAAACGTTAAAAATTAACATTTTGTGCACAAAAATGTTAGTTTTTGCAAGTCTCAGAAAGTTCATACAGCCTTTAAGTTAAAATTAACATTTTACTTTTAACAATCTAATTTAAGTCGCCACTGTTTCTATTCAATATAAGGTAATTCGAGGGAAGATGCCACAAGGGGGAAAACGCCACTTTGTTTATAATTTTTTTTATGGAACATGCGTTTTAGAACATACTGACTGTAAAAAGTGTATGGTAAACAGTTGCACAGTCATCGGCAAAGATGAACATGCCAAAGTCGATTGGTAAAGACTATACGAAAAGGTAGGTCGTGAAACATGTTCTTTGTAATATTTATTGTAATTTTTTGTATGTTAATAGTTAAGGTCTGTATTTCGATGCTTACTGTATAACCGAGCAAATGATATACGGTTTTAATCAGTGTTCCCTGAAAGTCATGTGGATGATATAGATTATAATTTGTAATATTCTTATATACGTAAAAGTTGCAATTGAATATTCCTCTTATACTTGGGGATAAGATGATAGTAAATACAATTTTTCCTGTTTCAAATCGTCATTAAAACGATTTTATGAATTAAAATTTTGGATGCTTTATATAATTCGAAATATTTTATGTTAATGAAATGCTGTTTAAATGAATAAAAGTATATCCAACTTATTTCCTAAATTATCTTCTTTCATATTTCGTTAATTTATGTTTTATCATACCTTTATCTGTTCTTATAGCTTAAACCTTCGATGGATATGGATTATAAATAAGTAAAATATGCAAGTTTATATTGCATCACATTATTTAATTGTGACATCTTTTCTCGTAAGAGATGATATCTTACCTGTATATGTAGGGGGAAGATGCCACTTTTGCAGGGTATAACATATCAATTTTTTCTAATAATACGGAACATCAAAAATTTAATTCATTGATTTGTATGATTAAAGAAAGGTTGCTAGAATATAAATAATATTTTTTCGTTCGTTAATTCAATAACATTAAGAAGTTATTCAAGAATAAAAGCTTAAGTGTGGTATCTTCCTCCTAATGATCTTATCGATATTTTATACTAAAATGATATAAAATAACAATATATTACGAATAGTGCCGATTTAAATTTTTTTTAATTAAGTTAAATTTGACTCTATAGATTTAATAGATATATAATTGGAAAAATATTCCAGGATATGACCATCCGAGATTGGAATATTAGCATAATAATAGAAATGCATATATTTAAAGATATATTTTTTAACAAAATATGAAAAAGTTATCATCGGAATCATCACGAAGCAGCTTACTTGAAACGCTAATATAAATATGATAAGGCGAAACATTCGTATTTATTCATATTTATATTTATTATTAGCGATTATTATTATTTCAGATCGATTGTGGTCCGAACGTTTCGGCGCACAGTCACATCTGAAATAATTAATTTTAAAATTGAGAATATATATTGTATTCATAACATCTAACTTTGACCGATTATTGGTGTTCTCTCTCATATTTATGTGTATCATTTACACGTATTTATTCTTAAAAAGTAAGTTATATATTTTTCTACATTGTATTTGAAAATAAAACAAAAAGTTTGATAGCGATTTAGACCTGGATCAAAAAGTATTTTAAGAAGTAAGTAAACATGTTTTTAAAAAATCATTCAGAAAATTTTCATTTAAATTATAAAATTACATATATTATTAAATATAAATATTGATCTTACCGAATTGTTTTAGAGGTATACTTTAGTTTAATTTTGCAGAGAATATGTATTTGATATAGCCTTAACAAGCAATTTATTGTATAAGTAAGCTGCTTGTAATTCCGTGATGTTTTAACGCGACTCGAAACTCTTTTTATTATATTGTTTCAAAAAGTAGTAATGTCACGAATTTATCGGCACTTATCCGAGAGTTTTGATGCTACAAACTTTCTCCATCGGGAATCCCTTGAATAAAGGAATAAAGGTCAAGCTGGGTTGCTTGTAGATAAGACAACCCAATCCACGTGTTATTCCCATGTACAGAGTTTAGTATCAGACAAGGTGGACACGTGCATGTGTATCTTATATATAACATGTTTTCTGAAGTTTCTATCGGAATATTCCGTAGTAAGTTTCGAGAAGATTGCCTCTCGGTAAAATCGATTGCATTATCTTCTTTAGCGAGTTTGAAATTCCCGATTTTACCGAAGATTTTGTTAACACTAGCAAGTAAGAAACGCGAATGCGGGCGAGACGATCTCTTGTATCGTCATCTTTAAATTTACCTAAGCAAATATGTCATCCTTACGTCTATCGCACCGGATGAAGATTCCCCGTTCTCGAAATCGATGGGTCGATAACACGGGACGATTTACGAACGCGAAGGGTATACTGCATTCGCCTTATCTCGTCACCCTTCCGCCTGGTACACCCTGAAGGAAAGGGCTGTAAGCTGGCCAAGAAATTCGACGTCGCGCACGCGAAAAGATGAGGATTGACCGAAGGACATCTACGTTGATATATAGAGGCAACTCCTCGGAGATTTCCGTCCAGTAAAGTGACGATGCTTGTAAACGCGGGGTGTGTTTGCCGTAAAGAGGAAATCCTCTTATTCCTATCATCCCACGATCAGTCATGGCGGAGGTAGGCATGAGACCGGGATGACGTGGACGGTTTATTGACGGCGGGAGCGAGACATGAACAACGATTTTCACGCCGGGTATAGGAGACTCGTTAACCTCGCAAACCGCCGCGTTAATGTAGGAATAATAGGTCATGCGCGAGAGTAAATTCCGCTCCTCGCTTCGATCCTACTACGGTTCGCGAGATATCGCTGTAACCGAGTTGCTACGTGCGGCAAAAAGTCGTTTCCGCGTCGTAATTTGTTCGTTGCGAGTAGTCGAGAGCCTTGTTACCCGAACGCGTTCAAGATCGTTCCGCTTACAAGTCACGCATAGAGCGATTTGCACGATGTAATATCCTAAAAGCGGATTTCTTGACGGATCTGGCGCTTTAAATTTCTTTTCTCCAATAAAGCCAGCTAGCTATTTAACACTAAGACTTGAGGAATCCGATAAATCAAATTTTGAAGAATGAAAAATAAAAAATAGAATCTTGTTTTCTTTTTTATTTAATAAAAAAGATTTTAGAGTTGTATAGACTTTAGTTTTTCTCATTTTGATCTGCGACTTACAATTACAGTGAATGCAAAAAGTATTCGTACAGAGAAAATATTTTTTTAAAAAATTTTATTTTTAAAAAGTAAATATTATCCAGCGAGAAATGAGTCATCGAATTAATGTCGAATCGATATAAATACGATGATTCCAACATTAATTTGACGTTGATTCGACGTTTAATTGACTATCATTTCTTGTTCAATAATTAACAATTTATTCATAAAAAAAATAGACTGCATGTTTCTTAAAATTATATATACCAAAAAGATGTGTATTAATTATACAAAATATATCATCTGAAAAATGAGCAAAAATTAAAAATTGTATTGTTTAAATGCGCAAAAAGTATTCGTACAAACGAGAAATTTAGCTTCTAAAATCAGATATGCATGCGAAGCTCGTTTGTTTATATTAGAACAGAATGTATTTATTGTATAAAATTGCTAATTAATGTTTACTTTCTACGAATAAGGCTTTTTTTATAATATTTCTTTATACAAATACTTTTTGCTCTCACTGTATAAAATAATACGTAGATATGTAGCATTATTGAGAGAGAAAGAGAGAGAGAAAGTATTTAATAATAAATAACGAGAAAAAAATTAAAATTTTCTAATAAAGAAATTCTCCATAACGTATATATTTAAAATTTAAATGGCGTTTACTTGATATTAATATATTACAAAGTAGTGTTAGGAAGAAAATAGATGTTATCAACTGTAACAAGCAGAAAATTAATCCCGACACGGTGTTTATATGTATAATAACTCATTCACAGTTTGCAGAGCAAACTTTTCACCGTTGACCTCCCGCGCAATTATCTGCCGGTCTATTTGCAGGTTTTATTTTACGGTACGAAATCTTAATCCCTAGCGTTACGACCATCTAAAAGAATAAAAACGGAGGAAAAAAGGGAGAAAAGTAGGAAGAATCGCGATTATCCGCAAATGTACACGTGCATTGAAACGAAATGCGGAATTCTCCCTCCCCCTCCCTCCCCCCCCCCCCCCTTTTTCCTCGTTCCGTCGAGTAATCGAATTAGGTATTCTTTATGGGCTCCGCGGAAAACTTCGTTTGATAACGGTCGAAAACGCGCTGTGTACTCACCGTATAATCGAATACTACTCTCGACCTCGCCGAGGGAATTTTTGGCCGCACACCGGTACGTTCCCACGTCGTTTTTCTGCAAGTTGCGGATCGTGAGGATCATCCGGACCTCGAACGGTGACTTCGTCACCGTTTGGACGTCGTGCCTCACGCTGGATATTATCATCGCGCCTGGAGAACAAAATGGAGAGCATACTCGATTATTCCAACTTCATCGGATAGGAAAAACTGCATGTTGTTTTTTCTCATATTTGCGTTCAGCATTTTTATCGATTGATATGCGGCAACAATAAAAAAAACCATTTATTATGAAATTACAGAGAGAAATACAGAATGTTTTATGCAAAGGAGAAAGAGATAGAAATTAAAATAATTAAGATATACGAGTTTATGTAATGATCAAAATCCTAATTATGTTTTATATATATTTCTCAACTACTAAAATCATGTCAAAGATTTTTTTTTAATCAAATACAACACGCATGAACACATTTTTCTATTACAATATTTTAATTTTTTAGTCGTTTTAATAACAGGGATCTAATAATTTAATAAAATTAAAATCTTATAACACGCGTATATTAATTATTTAAATACCGCATTTATTTAAGTACCATTTCAATTAAACAATACAAAAGTTCGAGAGTCCTAATATAATTATTGTTATTGTCATTTCAATTAAACTATGTGAGATATATTTATGTTTTACATTGTGCTAAGAAGCCACGTCTTTTATCATAAATAAGATATCTCGCCCGTTTCCCGCTATGCTTTCTTATTACACGTTGAAACAGTTGCGTATAATGGGAAACCAGTGAAAGGTATCTTCCACGCGAGACGAAATTGCATACGAATGCATTGGAGCGAGGAACTCCGGATAGCTGAGCGTGTGTTAAACTGGAGAACGTCTGGCTCTTACGAGCGAAATCCACTGCGGGGATATTTCCACGAGTTTGGATAAGTAGTATTCTCTTATATCTATCTAAAGTTTTCTTGAGGAATCCTGAGCCAAGTTATTACATGTTGTTGCGATATGTTGCTGGTGCTCGTTGACATTTCGTACGATTTACGATTTGATACCGAAATATTTGGCTTTTTACCGATGTATTTACAAGAAAAAGTCAAAATTTAGAATAATTATTGACTGTACACTGAGAAATAAAAGAATAATCTGAATTATCTAATGTTCCATTTTTTTTTGTATCGCTGTTTATCTTGTGTAATCTTAGAATGCGTTTCTGATAATACGAATGAGTTTTTCAACACTGACACTACGATACGCTCAGTGTGTATCGAAATCGCCTAACTAAAGTACGGTCCATAATCGGATTTGTCTTGCGAGAGTAATTAACGTTTGAGTATTTCTCCGCTAGTTACAGTCAGTAATTAGTTAACAAACCAATCGCTATAACGGACTATGCTACTTGTGGTTAATTGTACGCTGGGTAAACTACAACTATTTCACGCTGATGGATCGTATTTATATATACGTGAATGGAAAGATATTTTGTAAATTATTCCTATTATATTAAATTATAATTTCATTTCGCGTGGAAGAGAAAATTGTATTGTTAATAGTTTTGGTTGTTGTTATTATTATATATATATTTATATATATTTCATTAATAGAAGACAAGAGGGAACTGAATTGTCAATAATTACAAAAAACAATGACACGCATCGATCAAGATTAAATGTTAGAACGTATTACAGCCAAATTTAATTTAATTTACAAACTTTGAAATTACTTAATTATTTATGAAAAAGTGTACAACTCGAAAAATACAATCGAAAAGCTCGTCATCTTTATTCAATTATTTATGAAATTTGAAGTCAATCCATACGAGTAATTATTGACCAGTTGACAAATGTAACAAATTAGGAAAATTTCCAATAAACAGTAAATAATAAAGAATGTAGCCAACGAGTAATATTGCCACTGATGAAATTAGCATTACGGATCGAAAAAACACAATAACTAAATACAATAAAATATTACACCGAAATATCGTAGTATTAAAGCACAAAAGAATGTGATATGTGAAATATAATGCAAAAGCTCTATTTTTAACATGGAAATATCATCTCACGTGTCACCTCACCCTTAGGGTCCTTGACCCAATAATTAATCGACATCGGTGACGCTTCGACGAAACATTCCAGAACCACGTCGGTCCCCAAGGGCGCGCCGACCAGCTGATTGGGTACCTGAATCACTGGCGGAACTGTAAATCGAAATCGGAAGATACTGTTGCATTTTCAGCCTCAGCACGGTTTAGCTTTTACACGAGGAACACGGTACATCCAATCTTACGGCTCGGACCGTAATTACTATTACTCACAATGAACGTTGATATAAATACGTTTGCTGACCGCGGGCGGAACTCCGTTGCTGGCAATACACAGATAAACCCCCATCTCGGTCCTCGAGATCTTCGTCAACTTCAGTTCTTCGCCGAGAAATTCGGACTGAGGAACTGCTAAGGACATTAAAGTCGAATAAAATTGATCACCTTTGGTACCACACAAATCGCTAGAGCGCCCCAAAATTCGCGTCCACATTACTTTATTTTAATATAAAGTTACTTTTTTCTCGAAATGTCGCAATTTGATCAATCAATTTACTGATTTATTTTACTAATTATGTTTATAGTTTACTTTAATAATTTAACGTAAATATATGATACGTTAGTTACTTTCTATAAATCGGATACGCATTTACGTGATAGAGTTCAATATTATTCTATTTAAACGAATAATTATTAGTAAGTCAGTTAAGCGTATCCAATACAAAAAGCAAAACAACTTATTAATTGATAAACATAAATAAATACATAAATAAAAAGATAGTTTAATAATAGCTTTGATTAAAATTAATTTAATTAATTTAATTAATTTAATCAAAGCTATTATTTAGCTAGCTTTTTATTGATCGGAAATAATTAGCACAAAATTAATAATAGATATCTTTTCTTGCTTTATCCAAACTAATTTTTTTTAGAGTCTGCCAATTTAATTATATATACGTATATAATTAATTAGTAGGAACTTTAGCTGACAATCGATGTCTCTGGCTATTGTTATTATTTAATGAAGAGTAACCACTGTATGTAGACGGACGGAAAAAGAACATGAAGCGAACGACCTGTTACAAAAGCAATGGTCGATAATCAATAAAACGACAAATGCGCTTAATGATATTATATTCGCGCTAATTATGCTTCTCCAATATTTTATTATAAAACATGTAACGCATGTTATATTTTTGTGTGCGTGTGCGCATTTTATATGCTGTATTTTTAATACGAATTCTTAATCAGTATTCGCAAATCTATTTGTTTCATATTTCTACAACTTTAAAAGTTTCAACAATTTGTAAAATCCAATCGAATAATTTCACGCTTCATGCATCGGTGTAAATGAAGCAAAAGAAATATTTTTGTTAAATAACCAGATGCAAACAACAAAGTGGCGCGCGCAGATAAGACAAGCTCAATTTGTTTCGCTTGCACCTGTTCCTTACCGCAAAATATACTAAGCAAACGGACGGAACCCTCCTCACCTGCGGCCTCGTTATACTACATCAGCAGTTCAACTTGCAAAAACATCGATTTTCCCGAAGGTCCTCAGACACACCCCGCGTGTTTTCCGCCCCGCGAATTAATTACGCGGAAACGGTGTAAATGTCATTTTGTGCTTGCACTCCGAACTTAATCGAAGTACTATGAAGTCTCGATGAACGACACAATTCCCGTTTCCCCATTCAAATCTTAAAAGTAAAAGTTTATTCTTTGTTCGCACTTGGAAATTAGTTCTTTTTGAAAATAAGTTGGAACGGAAAGCAAGTTTGAAAAATTTTGAAATATTTTTCGAGTTTGTATTAAAAAAATTAAAAAGGTGAAAAACAAATCGGAATTAAAAAACATTCCGTTTGATAGATAGTTCTGAATATTTAAATTACTGAAAAATTGATGATTTTTTATGAGTTTCAGAAATGCAATCAACAGCGAAAGAATCTAAAAATTTCTCACTTATTAAGTAGTGCAGCGTAGAAAAAACTACTTTATAATTTTATAGTGCAGGTCTAGATCATCTATGCGTTTGCCAAATTTCTCAGATACGGCTCAACTTTTTCAAATTATATTTTTGGCAATAAACATGTGAGAATTAGCTTCATATCAAGGCAAAATATAAATCAATTTATCGTAATGGAGTCAACTCACTGAATTCTTTGGAGTACGATTTCACTCTTTTGGAAATTCATTCCAAAGAATTTAGAATGAAAGTTAATGAGATTTTCAATAATAAAGAGCAAATGAAACGATTTAATTTTTTTTAATTTTGCCATTTGTTCGACATTTTTAATAAAGTATTAAGGTAGTTATAGGTTTTTCGCTGTGCATTACTTACAAACCATCGGAAACCACTGTCTCTTATCAATTTTAATAGACTTTGAATATGTTATAGAGATAAAAATATTTTAAAACTATATTTTTTTAATCTGCTTTTCTCAATTTTTGAGGATCGAAATAATCCCTCGAGAACAACAGATTTTTTTCATGTTCGAAACTATAATATAAGATTTATGAAAAAATATTTTATATGACAATTTTATGGTATTTTATATTTACTCTTAACAACGGTATATTCACATTTTTCGAAAATGTCAAAATTTTTTTAACTTACTGCCACTTCCAGGGATGTTTCGATCCCTAAACAGATAAAAAAAATATGGATCTATAAAGTTTTATCGAAATGATATTTAATTCAAAGCTCGTTAAAATCGATGAGAGACAGTTCTGAGTTTCCTAGTTAGTTACATCCATAAAGGAATTATTTCCAATGTTAATTAAATCTTGTGATAATCACGAAACTAAAACAAACTTTTCCGACATGAGTCCGATAATCACTGCGATTGTGGTGTCGACAATAAGCCGCCGGAGTCGGGTCGTTCAGAGGCGCAGGTTTGCTCTCGGCATATGTTACACCGGTTGCCGCGGCGTTGCATTCTTGGACCACGTTGACAGTACAGCGAAATTTGCCTGCTATTAGTATCACCACGCTGAAGTGAATACTAAATACGTCGTTTAGCCGAGACCAACGCGACGGTTGGGAGGGAAAGGCAGGATGCTTTGCTCGGCTCACGAATAGTGAGTGTTTTCCGTCCAACATTCATTTTACGCTTCTCAAGAGTCTTTGTCGAGGAACATGCAATAATATTATATCATCAAACATTTCGATCCTATTTTCTCGATATGTACAATCTAGGATTTCTTCGAATAATTATAGTTCAGTAAAAAATTAATATTAAGCAATTTTGCTTTTCTGGAATCGAATTATTAATTATCAAGATGTTTTATTCCAGTAATATTAAAAAGGAAAAATCGATCACAAGTTCCTCAAATGACTAACAAGGGAACTGTCTCTCACTGATTTCGGTTATGTTATAATGCATAAAAAAAAATGTTAGACCCATTTTTTATCTACTTACCTCAAGGTAAAGTTTAGAAATCGAAATAGCCCTTAAAAAATAACAGTTTTTCATTTTCAATGACATTGTGAGATATATGAGAAGATATTTTATACAAAAAAGTTTTATCTTATTTCATACTTTTATCCATTTTTCTCGAAAATATCGAAAATAAAAAAAATCTGTCATTTTCGAGAAATTGTTCCGATCCTAAATCTTGAGATAAGCAGATGAAAAATATGAGTTGAATATTTTTTGTTGCTTTACATATCCAAAATCCATCAAAATCAATGAGAGACAGTTCTAACGGTTCCCTTATAAGAGCAACTTTCGGCAAACTGTCATTTCATATCTGAAATGAACGACTCTCCTATTTTAATACGAACATAAATTATGAGAGAATCCCAAAGAAGGTAAACGCGTGTGTTCTATAACTGGCTCAATATTAAACGCGATGGAATTCGACATTACGTTTAATGATCCGCGGAATGAAGGACGCGACGGTGATCGGCCATTCGGGCAGAAGCTTCGGTCTTCGGCCTTCGGCCGCGGGGCGAAGGCATCATCTCGTAACATCAGCGGAATCGGTTTCCGGGCGAAATTCATCTTAAAATCCGGAACCACGATCCGTAATGAGGGAATTTGAATACTAACGGGATCGCGCGATGCGCGGCATGCGCGGCTAAGGAAAACATAATTGTATATTCCGCGTTATATCGGCGCGGGTGTACCATCTATATTAAATCTTACCGTGAGACTTCTGGTTCGGGGCGCTTCCTGCAAATGGCTCCCGAATTATAATGGGCTTGCCGTCTTCCCGACGCCAGGATACGCGCGGCTCGGGTACGCCTCTCGCCCGGCACGTTAACTTCACCTGTACGTGTTATGAAACCGGAATTATAAAGAGAAGCGAGTTCGTTATTGCACTCTACTAATGCCGTGCTTCATCCAAATATATTTGGAGGAATAAAGGAGAAAGAGAGGGATGCGCGCAAGCCGGGTCTCCGTCTCTATGTAAAACACGTACGTTGCGCGCGAGGACGCTTGTCTGGTACAATGGTGGTTCGCACGGATACTCGAGCGGAAAACGAATCTACGATCGCGAGAGGCATGAAATATCCGATGGGATACCGGACGATTTTTAACGGTTACCTGCTCCGTCGCGCTCGCGCGGACGATTTTATCGAACCTCCTCCAATTCTCGTTAACGGAGGTTTAATTTAGCGATATTTTCGCTTCTGGGCTTTTAATAATCCAAGCGATGATCCGAGGTTATTTTTAATAACGAACGAGGTCAGACGCGATTAAATCAAGTCGATTTTCATAATTTGTCGCTCTAACGTGTGTCTGCATTCGCAGCCATCAATTATGAATATCGGCCCGATTTTCATCAGTTACAATGTTGTGGATACCTCGAAATGAACGGCAGCGACGCGGGTTACGAGTTGCGAAACACGTACGCGAAATGAATATCTGTGTGTTCTACAATGGAAAATATAAACGGCATGTTGACAATTAACGACACGACACGTGTCGCAGCATACTACGCTGTTTGTTCGTTTGCTTTCCACTGACACGCCGCCTGCTGGCTTGCAATATCTGTGACATTTTTGGATGAACATCGTGTTAGCACGATCCCAAAGTGCAACGTAAGTTATTGCATGTCGTGTATTTTGCGTAACTACCTTCAAAAAAGCATAAAATAAGACGCGAGCCTTCTTAGCTTCTCCAAACAGCTTTTTCAGCGCTTCAAATTTAGGTGCCTACAAATTATGTAATAACTGTAACTAGTGACATCTATAAATCTCTTACACCTTGTAATAATTTGGCAATATTTCAAAAAAATTAAAAAAATAACAGTCGTATAAAATGAGCACAAACTCATTAATATATGTTTAATATTGTGCTGTAATAATTGTACAATGATAAAGTTTCAAATATTACTAATTTTATCAAGATGTGAATATAAATTTTACATAATATATCAGTTTCGATCAGATTTTTGAAATTAAACGTATCATTTTCGAGAAATAAACGAATGTTTAAAAATCGATTGCAAATACATATATATTGGAAGGATATATTATTTATAATTCGAAGCATACACTTTTGATGGAACGTTAAACATTCTTTAGAAAGTATTCGGGAAAAGCTTACGCGAAGAGAGAATTTCGCGTTTTTTGTCAGGAGTCCTATTAATTTTAAATTAAGATCGCAACTGGGTCAAGAATAGATATACTAAATGTGACAGCTTTTATTGTTGGAGGAAAAAATAAATTAAAAAATTAAAATCTTTTGATATTTATTTCAGTACGGCGTGGAAACGTGGAACATTTTATGGAATGAAATGCGATAAACCGCGAAAAATCTCCGCAAATATAGATCTTTTTGGAGTCTTTTTTATTGTTTTATGACGAGGTTTGGCGAGCACACGAGAGGTGCGCCGTTAATAACAACAGTTATGGTCTGAGAAAATTATTTATTTAACTCGATGGGTTCGGTTCCGCCGTCAGAAAACGGATGAACACAAACCAGAATCTCGATTAAAATTTCAATTTTTTATTAACTTTATCTAACACGGCAGATCAATGAAAGTTTCAGTTTTTTAAATGATTATTTTAATATAATCTGCTGTTAGACATCGTTTTTATTAAAGTTATTACATTAAGCCTCAATGTGGCTTTTGAGACAAACGTTATTCTTAAACAAAATTGCTTTACACGTTGAGATATTTCTTCCAATATTGTTCATTAATATTAATTATTTTAAATATACAGTTGTTTGGAGCGTGTTAAAAGTACAAAGTTCATTAAAATTGTACAAAGTTTTATAAAATTAGAATTCGACACTTTACGAGTTTAAGAGTAAGAGTACTTTTGCTTGAAACTCTTTTAGCTTTACACTGAGAGAAATGTTTCAATACGTTTAACCATTTTGTTGTGACTAACAAAAAACTTTCTTCTTATCTTTTCGTTAAAAGATTTTGTGTTGCTCTAATCAAAATTTGATTAGAATAACCAAACTTGTGTTGTTTTAATCAAAATTTGGTTAAAATAATCATTAGAACAATACAATTTTTAAATAAAAAAGCCAGAAAGTTTTTATTTTTACATTTTTTTCAATAAATATTTTTCAATATATATTTTACTGATGAAATCTACGATATGCTTCTGTATAATTTTTGTCTCTATTATAGAAGCTTAATGAGATGTACGTTCATGTTGATATTTAATTTTATACGACGGCTCAAATGAAATTGATGAGTCAAATATCCGACCCTCAACTGAGAAATAACTTTAAACTGAAGAAAGAAAATATAATGGGTTATACTTTCAACATCCTAATGGTCATCCTGTATTATACATATATAAAATATCTTAAAACAATCACTAATCAATCCTTAATAACAGAGTTCTTTAGTAAATTTGTCTTAATGAAAATGCTGGGGAAGATTTTCAATTACTGCAACTTTTTAATCTTTTGAATTATTTATTTTTATGGCTACGCTTTGAATTAAAATTCTTTCAAGATAAACTCTATTCGAAGCTAAACTGAAGAATGTAATTTTGTTATCTGTTTGACTTGAAGTTTAATAGATGAAAAACTCTTTTTTTCATTCCCTTATTGTCTCGACATGTTTGTTAAAGAGAAATTGATCTCAAATTAGTTAAAAACATCCGTCGTTAAAAATACATTCTATGATTTTACATTGTATAAAAGATATTTTATATAATAAATACAAATCGCTGCTGATATGGCTTATTAATACAGCTTACGTCCATAAATAACATTTTATAGAAACGAGTAAAGAATTAAATTTCGTCGTTTCAAGAAAGCTGAAACTTTTGATTATGCAATTTTCTAAGTACATAAATGATATCCATCAGATATATTACAGCACACAATTCTATTATAACAAAAATAATACGATGCGATACTTAGAAATGTGTCCCGACAAACTCGTCAAAAGAAATAGAAAGTAACTTATCAAACTGACAGTTGTACAATTTTCACTATACCAACTGCGGTAGCTTATAATAGGCGGACTCGCTATGCGCGGTATAATTTCAAAGTTTAAAATGGTCCATGATAGTAGCTTCGCGGAGCTGTCGCGTCTTCGTAAAAGCGTCCTGTCAGACGTTCCGAGGGAAGCGCAATATTCTTTAGTCGAGCGACACCGTCGGCCATGCGCGCGGAAAAACGCGAGGATGAGATGAGGTATTCGCACAAATTGCGCGACTGCCACGGAATATGAATTGTGAGCAACAGGTCACTTATTTTCTCTGATGGCTTACTTACAGCATCCGGCGCGAACGTCAAGACCGGCCATAACACGCGTGTGCCAGATTACACTCTCGCAATTACGCGTAAAAAATTGTCGGATTAAATAAATTACTTATGAGCGATTAGGCTGAAAATCTATTAGGTATATGAAAGTTATATACATATATGAAATGTACGATTATACTTTCTTTTCGTTGCAAAACTAGTAGATTTTAATCATTGAAATAGCTCGCCTTTCTCAGCTCGAAAATGCGTGAGATAATAAAACTCCAATTAAAGTTATTAATAATAAAAAGACATTTAATAATAATTACGGGTTGGTTTTATGAATGTAATGTTGAAATAGCACTTGCAACAGGTGTTGGAAGTTGCAGTTACGAAATCGCTATAACATTATGAAGTGCGCTTCACCATTATAATTATTTTTCATATTAATTGAAATGTCAACATATTTCTAAATACGATATCCAATTCATATACGTTAGTGTGCATGATGGAAGGCAAGTAAATTCAAAGTTGCTCATACTTTTAATTCGATATCAATATTTCGTCAGAAACTTCTCAATAAATTTGATTTATTAATAATTTCGTAATTAAGGCGTTATTAATGACGATGAAGTTGCAGGTTATTTGTAGATTCAGATACAAGCCGTTGCACACTCGTGGCGTACTGCCGTTTTCCAATATAGATTTCTCCGACATGAATCACGCGAAATAACGTTGGTCTGATAATTTACTACACACGTAAATCAGCACATTTGTAAGCTATAAACCGTCGTTTATTCATGACGGCTTCTGTGTAGAGTAAATTATTTAACGACCCCCCTGGCCTAGTCGCGCATAGCGCATCTTTCCTCTGGCATATTTATTCGCAAATTTATTTCTGCACGCAGATGGAATCGTCGGGATTGAGACGAAAATTAATTTCGATCGAAAGGAATTTAATCGTCGTATTTTATAAAGAAACAAGAATTTTCCTGTAAGATCTAAAATTTTACTGGATACAGATTTGAAAATAATTTTTTGTTGGATTACTAAAATAATTATATTGATAATCAAAAAATGATAAATAACGCTGCAATTGATTTTGGTATTGTAATAATCAGTTTTCCAACAAAATTCTTTTGAAATCATATAATAAAGAATATAGGATTCTCATCTTAAAATACAATACAAAGATTATAAAAAGTATATGAGAGTAAATATTAACAACTCTGAATGTATAAAAAGTTAAAACATAGAATATATTACATTATTTAAATTCGAAAAGGTTCATTAGTTATTACATGTTTCGGCTTTTGGATTGAACCATTTTCAGATAAAAACGTAATGAATTTGTTATTAAAGAACATCGTAAATATGATAGAAAGCGTTAAACTTTAACTAAAAATTATTTTGATAATCCAACAAAATTCAAAATCATTCTTTTCATGTGAAAATTAACAATGTAAGAGAAATGCTATTTCTTATAACTAAAAAGCAGTTCTTAATTGTTAATAATTAAAAGTTTTTTTTGATAATTGAGAATTAAAATTATAGGTAAAATAAAATATAATTAAAATAAAGAAAGATATTTACCTGGCCGCCTTCACCCACCATCATATCACTTGATGTAGCTTCAGGATCGAAATCAGGTGGCACAACAATAGACAGCATACCTGTCTGGAAAAAATAGATCAGCGTTTAATATTTAAATAGCACAAATTAAAGTTTGTTTTATTAATAGCATTATTTCATTTTATAGTAATTGTAACTATAATTGTAATTCTATTTCTTTTCTATTTTTTTATTCAATTATTACGTCTAAAAATTCGCATTCAGATTATACTTAATATGAATACATAATAACTTTTTTGTTACAGATTGCGCATAATCCGGAATAATACAAATGAAACTGTCTATGTCTGAATATTACGCGACCTTTTACGGTAAGTTTTTTACAACTAGCTACAGTGCATTTTAATTAACGTATATGCGAAATTTACGATAATGACAGGAGAGGAAACGTGAGATGCGCACGGTCAAGGCAGTAATTATATTTCTAACATGAAACGTAAAATATTCTCTGCAAAATCGTAACACGCTCTTTGTTGCGAAAAACATATTTTTTTCCATTATACAATAACACGACATCGCAAATGTGATTCATCCGATATGCGGCGTTGATAGCAACAAGCGAATCAGAACAATGACATATAGCTCGCTTTATTTCCCTTGTCGCGGTCCACAGTGCTTCTGTGGAAATAACCAGTATTGAGATAACCAATTTTTATTCGCAGTAGATAGACACAAAATAAAATTGCGGAATTAATGAGAACAAACGAATTTCAGACTTCTTGAGATGAATTAAATAACTACACCTGGAAAACAATGTCATAATGTCATCAATTCATTAGATACGATTCTGAACGTAACAAGCAATTCGCGGAGACAGTTTATTTGTCGGTTTTTTCCTGCTTTTCGTAAATTAAAGTAGACTACCAAGTACAGAGCCATAAGGCAGCGAATAACGCGAGCGTCCCTAAATCTCACAAGCATCTCTCTCTATATACTTTAGCTCGACGCCGGTAACATATTATAGCCGTGCAACCTGCTACCGTTGCCAGTACGGATGCCGGTGTATGTCGTGGGTTTCGTTAATTAACGACACATGGTAGCGCCAAACATCATAACTAACAGTCGGCACAATCATTATTGCCTTCTGCGAAGCCTAACAATCATGTGAGTTATAGTCACACGTGAGTCACATGTTTAAATTTGTTTAATTCGTATATTAAATATAATAAGAAAGAAAATTATTTTTGATATCGGATGTCATATACTGATTAGTGTGTTTTCACGTATTTTATTAATATGAATATATATATATATATATGTATATAATTTTCAATGCAATTAAAAAAGAGAGAATTAGATACACTTATTATTTTTTATAATAATAAATATTTCTTAATAATATAATCTCTAAATCATCGAGTAGGAATTTATTTATAACTCCGACAAGTCATCTGAAAGATGATTTTAAGCTGGGGCATAAGTTTAAACTACAGTAAAAAAAAAAAATTTGTTGAATTTTAATAAATATTTGTTTCAATAACACTAACAAAATATTTACTCACAATAAATAAATATTTACTCAAAATGAAAAAGTTATGCTTAAATAAAAAAAAAAATGTTTACATTTAGTAAATATTTCGTATTTTGAAACAAATATTTATTAAAACTTGGTAATATTTTTCTCAGTGTACGCTATGTGTTAATAATTTTCACGACTTATTGTTTAAATAATCAGGTTGATGTTTAAAATGCAAATGTTTTAGCAAAATGTAAAAAATGTACAATCTGTCTCAACAAAGTGCCTCGCAGTAACTACGCATTCGACGTTTATCAACGCGCGGAGGCGCTATCGCGAGATATAATTCCTGCGAGCGAGTGAAGACAGCAGAGAATGCGCGGCAGAATCGAGGAGGTGGATCAACCTCCTTGAATGCTGCGAGGACTTTTGTCGGTGGTCGTACGTCAGTCACGAGACATCAGTACGAGTGCAAAGACCTCTTCCCCGTCCCGTCTCCTCTGCTCCACCATATCCTCCGTCGTACTTCCCCTCAATTCTCGTTTCACTTCCTCGATTTAAAGGAAGTCCCTCTCGCGTACGAGAGGAGAGCGCCGCTTTCTCCGTTCTCGCATAAGACGCGAGGTGTGCGCGCAATTACGAGGATGTAATCCACGCCACGACGAAACTTCAATCGTTATAACCGAGTTGTCTGGCAAGCCGCCGCTGCGCCGCGCCGTGCCGCTCGAGAAACAGTCCCGACGAATGCAAACTGCGTACCTACCACCTAACGCGACGACGACGATGACGAGAGCGGCGAGACACGTGCCCGAGCGCGTAAACTCGTACGTGTCGCCACTGAATTATGAAACTCCCTTCCTCCACATCCGCGTGCTGTAAATTAATTATTATGCGCCTGCGAATAACTGTATCAATCCGCGTCGCGATTCGGTGAATGAAATCCGTTTCATTGATCGGTCAATCTGCTTTTAGAATTGCAGATTGCATGAAGCGATTCTGCGAAGCGATTCTTATCTATGAAGCCTATTTTCTTCCCTCTCGAGGAATTGCGTTATTCTGATACCACATAGAAAATTAACTTGATACAATTCATAAATAAATTTCGTGCTTGCAATAATCATTATTGATACAGTTTAAATGGAAATGTGCAAGAGATAAACCGACCAAAATTGTATACACCAATGCCTAACAATGCCCAAATAATGCCCAAAATTTTATGCCCACTGATGCTCTGATTAAGTCTCACTAATACCCTAGTAATGTTCATTAATGTCCTAGCAATTGAAACTCTATATTAATAAAAGTAGCACATTTCTTTGATCTGAGCCGAAATGCCGACAACTTTACTATTGGCTATTTCGATCGCCATTTTGGACCTAATTGTATCTGTAGTTCAATAAGCGCTTAGTACTATTGTATGATTAGTGTGGTATAGTTAGTAAGTCCAATATGGCGGATTTTTGTGCTACTTTTATTAATATAGAACTTTACTATTAATATTTTAATAATACCTCAGTAATGAATAACCTCATACCGCTTATTATAATACACAATTCTCTTAAATAATACCCAGTAATGCCCCAAATTTATACATCGTAATGCGGTGTACCTCAGCGGTTTACCTCTTGGAAATGTGTTAATACAATATAAAAATAAGAGTACACTGTTAAATTCATAATGCCAAATTATACCCAATTTGAGTTATTTTTAATTATTTATATAGGTCGCCACTATTCCAATATGTCGTCAATTTAACTAAAACAATGGAGTTAAACAATTGAACTCAAGAATATGCATTAATATGGACGTTGTTTACTCTGAAACTAACTGCAGTAATGGATTGATTTACATTTTGATACATATAGAAGTTAAAAGTTACTTAAACAAAATGTTACTTAAACTCAAGGGATTGAGTTACCGTTGCTCCTTAAATATTTAGCAAGATGTGAAAATAAAATAAAGAAACAAAAAATTGACATTCTACGCATGACGTAAACATTATGAATAATATACAGAATTATTTCGACTCACAAAATGCATCATACGGTAAACCTGTTCGCAAAGAACACGTTCGTGGAAACTCATTATCGCTCGTTAGCCAGATTCGAACCACAGGATCATTATTAACCCATATGTACGCGCACAGTTCCATTCAACATAATCAGGCTTGTAGTATAATTGAGAAACCACACATTGTTTAGTAATAGTTAGTAGTAAACGAATAAAGCAATTATGTTCTTCTTAATGTTTATAATAATTTGTTATGCTGGAAGGGGTAATGCGTAAAAAAAAAAATTATCGCTGTACTTTAATCAATATCATTCAATGCGACATTAATTTCACAAATGTGATTATACCTAATAAAAGTCGGTAATGAAAATTATGATTTATCTTAATTAAACATTTGCAGTGTGATAATATAATTATGTATATTGTTTAAAAAATGATCACAATTGTGTAACTGAAGCATTAGTTAATTCAATCGTAATTAATTTTAACTAGAGCAGAATAAATATTAAAGGGACAAAATCCATGATTTATTCCAAAATCGTTGCTAGGGCAATAAAACATTCATGAGGGTCATACACATAATATTTTCGTGAGGTTCTATTCAATTACTCGACTAAATCAGTGCGTTTCCGTCGCGTTGGGAATTATGTAGATGGCTTTGAAGAAGTGACGCGAAATTTCAAGAAAGACGACACACATGCCGACTTGCAAGCCGACGCCTCTCCATACACGTAAATTTTATCAGACACGCAGTCGGAATTATAAGCGATGCGCGAAGGGTGCCGCCGTATTCGGCAACGAGCGAGGAAATATAGTTACGAGAGGCGAGACGGCATCCTTTGCGGAGGACGAAGGTCGTATTTTAACTGTTGATATATGTATATGCACACAGAGCGAAGAAAGAGGAAAGAGGAACGATTTGAAATAAAGAAAAAGCTTTTATAGAGGAAACATTGAGCTACTTAGAAGACAATTTATCTCTCGATCATCAACCAACCCATACAGCACAGAACGTTGAAAGAATGTTGCTGAGATGTTGCAATGTTGAATGTTGAAGTGTCAATGTTTTATCAATGTTGTATTTATATTGGTTCTTCTACATTGATTGTTAATGCTGCAACGTTGAAACAATATTGAATAAATTGAACCACAAGTTGAATTTTTATTGATTTTTCCACATTGATTGTTAATCTTCCTGCAATGTTGAAACGACATTGAATAAATTTGATATCGAAACTTACTTTGTAAAAAACGAACAAAAATATAATGTCATGTAAATAGAAAATTTAAATCACTTGTTCTAAATTGATCTTTTAACGAGAATCGGCCGCGCGTGCAAAATGCTCACACGTATGGTATTGTTTGTGTTGATCGGTTCGATGCTCGTGCTCTTTCTATAATTGTGATATATTTATATCACAATTATACATGCACTAACATTCAGTGTTCGTGGATCATCGATACGGTTGCAGTTCCGTACGATTGTTAAGCATGGTTGGATGGTGCATAAGATTGGATGGGGATGACCGCCTAGGAAAATAAGGAAATTAATTCCCAAATAGGAAGAAAACGTTTTTTTTTTCAAATATAATATATATTTTGTCATATGTTTTCTGGAATATGATGTTAATCAATAATACTTATTTTAATAATTGAATTCATTAATATGAGAAACATTTTTTATGCCTCACAGATATTGCAATTCAACGGACAATAGAAGTTTTTGCAACGTCTCTTCAACATTGAATCTACATTTCACGATGTGATCATTTACTGCAACGTTCGTAATGTTATAAATCAAGGATTCTGAGATATTGATTCAATGTTAGTGTGCTGTATGGGTAA